TGTTGAAAGCAATAAGATAAAAAACGAATCCAAACAATCCGGCTTGTTACGTTAACAAGAAACCACACAGTGCGAAGTCCTCCATCCTTCACTTCACCTCTAAGTGTTACAAAGTGCTGACACTGAAAAAAGTGTCAGTGCTTTGTATTATATAATATAATAAATGTTAAACAAATGTCTCCTCAGAGAAAAGTTCACCATATCAACAAAATTTTTCTCTGTTAAATCCATTTCATATTAGTCTTAGATTATGTAAAGTGTCCATCATACAAGTCCCTGTGTATGTAACTATAGAAACGATAATGTATTAGAACCAGCACATTAATATAAACTAGTAATTTGTCTTGCAGCTGGAACTACTCTCAGAGCTGTTGTTAGATGTCACTGTGGTGCCCCATTTTGTTGATGATGGCCTTCACAGTGTTTTATACCCCTCTCTTGATCAATATCGTTCAACAAGTGAGATACCATACAGGCTTTGTATGCTTTTTGCGGACCATGGCTTCAGCAGTCGGATGAAACCAAGAAAATGTCAAGAAAATCCTACAGAAACAGCTGGTCTTTATTTGGGGTTAATCAGAATAATCTCATTGATGACAGCTGTATGATAATAACTTTTGAACATGAGATTGAATGTGATTGGTTCATCCTGAACACAGCCACATCCCCAATTATAAAACGGTGTGCACACTTATGCAACCAGGTTACTGTAACTTTTTTATTTTTTTCTATATTTCCCTAAAATGTTTCTGATTGGTTTTCATTTAATTTTTATATGTTGTAATTTCACACTGAGGGTGGAAAAAGTTCTGACATGATTTATCTTCATTTCATTTTTTTTTTACATCACAAAAACCTGCCATTTTAACAGGGGTGTGTAGACTTTTTATATCCATTGTTGAATCAACACCTTCTGCCCAATCAGAATTGAGAATTGTGTTATAAACACCACACAAAGTATTTTATTTCTCTTGCTTTTATAAAAAAGTTTGTCATTCACAACAAAAGGAGTATAATCAGAGATTTAGTGCTGTGTGTACAGCAGACAGAACTCTATTTTATTTTATTTTAGACCATTTATATCAAGTTTGTCATCTTGATAATTTATAGATGGATAGATAGATAGATAGATAGATAGATAGAGATACAGTATATACACAGTGTGCTTTAAGACATTTTAAAGTTTCCGGAGCCAATAACTTGTACAACTAAAGTTGAAACTATTTCAGTAATAGCAGGGATGCTAATTATAGTGGTTTTGACAGTAATGACACATGCAGTTTCACCATGACAGAAGACTGACATGAATAATACTTAAAGCTCCTGGCAACACGGTTTTAAATGTTAATAACTCTTTGCGATACTAAAGATCTGTCACTGGCTAAGAATTTACCAATGTTAAATTCAAGAAATATATACTCCTAGCGACGATTTAATTATAACCGATAGCTACAAAATGTCCTATTTTCTGCCAGTGTAGGTGTGTCAGATCCCATACTGATTGGCAGCGGCATCTCCCTGGCAACATAAACAACTCGTCACACTGCTCCTGCTAGAAAAGCATCCTGGAATGTGTCTGGTGGCACAGTGCTCAAAGAAAGTGTAAGAATAAGTGAAGATTGTACTTTGTGTGCACTCCAGTGTAGCTTCCAGTCTTGCAGCTAGTTTAAATAAACTACACTGATCAGCAGAGCATGGGTCAAATAAAGCAGATGATGATTTTGAAATGAAATGAAAAGGCTATCAATACAAAACATGTGAAAAAAAGTCTGCACACATTGGGCACTGTTCAATCATTTACTTCAACAGGAATGATCACACAAACGTTTCAGCTGAAATGTGTGCTGACTTTATTTTTTCAATTATTTATACATTAACCTGTAAAAGTATTACGGTAGAACATGGTGTAAAATCTGTTCTTAAATTGTGCAAAACAACAATTTTTAGATCATTTCCTATGGAATAACCTGAACATCCAAACCTATGCAACTTCAACTAATTTAATAACACAGCGCTGTCGAATTCTTGAATTGTTTCCATAGTAACAGCTCATTTATAGATACTTGTATGGTAGATGATCTACATAATCTAAGACTAATAATAAACTAATAAAAACGTCATTATTTAGCAAAACCACTTGTGAATATAGTGAAGCTTTCTGTAAGGAGATGTTTATTTAGCAATTATGAAAGGAATCTCCAGTGTCAGTGCTTTGTAACAGTCAGTAGGTTTTCCTCCCTGGGAAAGTCTTCAGGGCAGAGGACATTGTGCATTGTGGTGTTTCTGGAACATGCCAAGCTGTGTTTTTTTGTCTTTTTAACTTTAAGAGAGGGGAAGAAAAGTGGCTGGTGAGGGAATGGTCAATTATAACTGCTCTAATGTAAGTGATAACAGGAAGTAAGGTGTTTCGTCGACATTCCACAGCATTAAACATAAATATAAAGGATAAAAAGCACAATATTTAATTCATTAATAAATGCAGAATTGTAATCATTAGCAAATAGCTGTTGTAAAGGATCACAGGATGTTCAGTTACAGGAAAATTATCCAATTTGTCATTGATTATTTTGCTATAACATCATGTTTAATTGGTTTTGCTATCTATCTAGCTAACACTTTCAAATGTACATGCAAAATGATAACTTACAGTGAAAAAAAACATGATTCACCTGATTCAAAGTGATCATATATCACCATCTGGTTTACATCAATTCTGCATTGAGTGATGGAACAATGTTTTTTACACGCCAATACGTAAACTCGACAGTTATTTTCATTGAAACAATGCCAAATCCAGATACAAACTCAACTTCAGCTATACACCAGTGCTGGTACTAATGGCTGAATTACTGCTAGATTAATGCCAGCATTAGCATGATGTGCCACTGATCTACCTGAGGAGGAGAAGTCAGTCACAATCTGCACTCCTCCAGCAACCTACTGTTAAAATAATAGCTTGCGGTTCCTCATAAATAACTTTGATTAGCCCGTAGTAGGAAAGGCAGGGCGACCCCTAGGGTGCTTATTAGATTCATCACGCAAGAGAAGGCAGGTCGGAGGTAAGCGCTATTGGAGCAAGAGCTAGCTGAGCAAATCTGTAAAATTAAAACATGATTAGGTTTTGGAAAGGAGAGAGTGGCTGAGAATGATAATATGACAGTAAAATGGCTTTGTTTGCTCCTTTGGGATAAATTATCACTAATGGAAGATGGAAAAGGGATGCGCAAGAAATTATTACAGCGTGCTGTGAAAGCGTTTGGTTAAAAATATTACATAGATGCATGAGGTGCATGAGCTGATCAAATTAGATACAAATTAGATACTCCTTTAATGTTGCTGTAGGTCTCTTGGCAGCCTCCCTTGTAAGATTTTGTCTTGTCCTTTTATAAAAGGGTGTGCATATTTATGCAAGGTTATTGTAACCTTTTTATTTTTCTTATTTTCCCTAAAATGTTTCAGATTGTTTTTCACTTAATTTTTATATGTTGTAATTTCACATTGAGGGTTGAAAAAGTTCTGACATGATTTACCTTAGTTTCATTTTTTTTAACTTCACCTGCTATTTTAACAGACTTTTTATATCCACTGTATGTTCCAAGAAAGTGTTTCCTTGAAACGAATCTTTCCTTCATCCTCATGTTGCCATTGGCCATGCCATATCATTTGATTTTAAACAAATATGCAATACAAATGTAATATGTAAATATGTAAATACATAAAATGCAATACAAATGTAAAATGCATTTTAAAATACTTGATATCTTACCGTCATATGGAAATGAGGCCCCAAAAGCCTTCCCCATGCTTTTAGGGATCCTCTTGGTGACAGGTGTGCATGCACAGGTGGAGCTATAAATAAGAGATGGAATAAATTTGACAGGCGAGTCTCGAGTCACTAATCCCCCACTGGCTCCTCATTGGCTACTGAGGTTTGGAGTGACGGCTCAATTTTGGTGGAGTAGAAACTGCAACAGTCCGTCATCTTTAGCGCCGGTTTTCTTTAAGTATTTGAGGAATGCAGCAGCCTGTTTAACACTACAGATTATTTAGTTTGGTTTTATAAGGATTAAAACAATTGGGAAGTGCCGTTATAGGAAAATTATTATAGACGTGGTGGTGTGATCCGGTCTCATGAAAAGCAGACCATCCAAAGGTTGTTATTTTCCTATAACAGCAGGCAGGACGCAACTGTATAAACTCATCATGACACTTATTTTGGGCAATCCTGAAATCGTAGTCAATGTCTGTGAGAAAATAGGGTATACGTAAATAACCACAATAATTAAGGGATGAACATGGAACAGGTGCAGACATTAGGGAAACAAACCAATGATAAGACAGAGGCAGGGACAGGACTGGAACCAAAACAAAGGAACATGGCCATAACATAACCCAAAAGCAGAAGCAACAACTTACACTAAGGAGGGAAGTCATGACAAGAACGTCTGTGAATGCCTGATACTTTGAAATATTCACTGTCAAATCATAAGGAATTCATATTAATTTGAACAAATGGTGCTGATGCGGTTAAATTTCATAAAAATAAAGTCAGGACAAACCCTAATCTTAACTATAACCATTCTATCTGACTCACAAATATTATTTTATACATATTTTTTTTTAACCACTTTTATAACGTTCATAACATTAATGCAATTTTTAATAATAATAATAATATAAAAAAATAATAAATAAACCAAGCACATTACTCCATATTTACTACAAACTCTACAGTGCATTTTGGGTATTTTATACCAGATAAGGTACATTATTAGTGCATTTTGGGATTTCATAAGCATACACAATAGTCTCTGCTACTCATTTAAAGTGTTTTTAGACCTGCAATATTCATAATAAAAGGTATCCTTAAAACTGTGGTTCACAATATTGCTACATAATGACTGGGACTCGTATTTGTATTAATTTTTAAGGCCCTGAAATTAGCTCCACCCCCTCAGTCCTGATCCTTTTCCTTAATATACAATAATCAAGGCATAGGGTCCGTGGAGGACTAGTGGTTAGGCCACAGTGCTCTCACTGCTGCGGCCTGCGTTCGATCCCCTGCAGGGGAACCAACCCCAGGCACTGGGGTTCTGTGCAACAGTCTGCTCTCAGTGCCAGTCCCAAGCCTGGATTTGGTTAGGGTTGTGTCAGGAAGGGCATCCGGGGTAAAAACTGCCAAATCAAACACGCAGACCAATGATCTGCTGTGGTGACTCCTAACGAGGACAGCCAAAAGAGGAACAAGAATAATCAAGGCATACATAATTAAACATTGACCTTTTAAATCGCAAAACCCTAAAAACAGTGTGCTACATGTATATATAGTAATAAAGTGCTACTGCACATACACTTTATGGTCACTTTTATATACACTTTATGGACAGCTGACCATCACACCGCTTTGTGCTTTTTGAAAATTTCATTCCAGATTTAGTCTGCCTTTGTGGTTATATTAAGCTCCACTCTTCTGGGAAGGCTTTCCACTAGAGTTTGGAGCGTGGCTGTGGGGATTTGTGTTCATTCAGCTACAGGAGCATTAGTGAGGTCAGGCACTGATGTTTGGTGAGGAGGTCTGGGGTTCAGTCGGTGTTCCAGTTCATCCCAAAGGTGTTCAGTGGGATTGAGGTCAGGGCTCTGTGCAGGACACTCGAGTTCTTCCACTCCAACCTTAACACACCATGTCTTCATGGAGCTCGGTTTGTGCACAATGCCACTGTCATGCTGGAACAGGTTTGGGCCTCTTAGTTCCAGTGAAGGGGAATTGTAATGCTACAGCATACAAAGTCATTCTATACATTTGTGTGCTTCCAACTTTGTGGTGACAGTTCCACACTTCCACACTTCCACCTACTTTCCTCCATATAAAATTCATTCTTGAAAAAAAAAAATGTTGCTGCAGTTTTCCACAAAAAAGGTGACCAAAAACAGAACGTACAGTACCTTATTTAGACACACGCACACACAAGAGAGAACTTGTGACCTTTTTTCTTCTTCTGAATGAAAAAAAGTCTTTCAGCTCACGCCTTCTGTTGGACATTTCAAAGGCCAGCGTAACACAGCCAAGCCTGGCATCCCCTGATGTACTTCTATTCATGATAGAGGGATGAAACAGGGAACAGAGAGCGCATCTCTTCTTTCAGGGTTTGTTGGCGAGTAATAGCGAGGGGTGCCAACTGTTGCCGCTCAGGCCGAGTGGTATTTGAGGAGCGCTCGGCAATGCATCATAGTGATGGATAGAGGGTTATTTACAACAACAAAAGGACAGGCTACAAAGGAGAGGGAATGAGTTTATTCTCCACGGCCCACAGATCATTCTGGAAGATCTGCCAAGAATTTGCACCCTCCATCATCGGCGAGGGACGGGCCGAGGAGCACAGATGGCAGAGAAAGGCTACCATATGCCCCTGCCATGCTACCCACCTGCCTCGCCATTCTGCGACAACACGGCTTTAAATTTCCTTTAAAACATGGACTGGCACTGAAGAGATACAAATTATTTTAGCCTCCATTTAGGTTGTGTAGTGTGATTAAATTGGCACGAAGGCAAATAATTGCCTACATTTGAGAAGTAACTGGATCTCATGATGTCATTATCTCAAAACACAATGCATTGTCATGTTGCTTTAAGGATATAAGACATTAGAAATGCAGTTCTAATGCTAGCTTATGTTTTCTGTTTTCAGGAGAGCATGTCCGAGGCATGCATGAGGCAGGCAGTGGAAAAGTAGTTGAAGAGCAAAGTCCATGCTATGAAAAGATCCATGACAGCATTTCACAAAATTGAGTTTACTTCAACTTTTCCAGCAATCACAAGCTGTGAACAGAAAACCCTGAAGCATCAATAATACATTTACCCACTTTAGCTTTCGCAACTGTTGCAAAAACAAGGCTGCTACACCTTAACACATGTAACATGTTAATTAACTCTCAGTTATTTGTTTAATAAAGCTTAAATTAAACACTTGTAAAAAGATGCATTCACTGTGCATTAGTATTTATTCATTAATTCATGTATTGCAACATAACTGGAGATTTGTTCTATGAAAATGATTAATAATTTCATTATTAGTTATAATGAGCAAATAAACAGTTTATTAAAACTATTAAGCATGAAATAATAACCTGATAACGTAACACCTTTTGACCAATCAGATTCCAGAATTGAGAAGTGCTGTGGTATAAGTAGCAGACCTGCTAGCCTATGCTAACCTGCTAAGCTACGCATATTAATATCAGAGTATGCTGCCCCCTCCTCAACCCCCCCTACCAAAACCGAAAACAGCAGACGAGCTATTCGACCTATGAACCTGGAATGATTGACAGCTGCAGAGGTGTTACAAACTGAAACTCCCTGGAGGCCCCGCCCCCTTCTCCTCTCTCAGATTATTCATATTTTGGGCAGCAATCTCGTCTCAACTCGTATTTTCCACTTGAAAGATGCACTTCTGTGGCATACTCGCTTTCTGTCATTGTAAATAGAGAATGTTTTAAGTTCATTAATGTGAAATGATAACTATCTATATGTGTTTGACTTAGCTAACATTACCAAAGTATATATTTAACATCAGTTAGCTATATTTATTAGGGAAAATTGTGCAAAAATTTAAAAAAAAATCCAAACATTTTCAATGAAAGGGGCAAAATCTAGCATTTTACAAATAGTTTTAATAGTAATGATAATTATAAAGTGAAAAAAAGCGTTCAAACAGCACAGTCAAGCTCATTGCAGGAGAAACTACTCGTACTGCTTGTACATACAAGGTTTTACAGTAACAACCAGATGCTTGGTGGAAAAAAGCTGTCACTTGTGTGTTTTAGTTAAAGTGTGGACTCTAGAATAGTTAATATGCACATTGCCTTATTAATTACTGTATATAACATCTTTTTCCTGGAATAGGATGAAAGAAAGTGTGCAAAGTGTATACTTTTCTAGTTATATACCCACAGTCAAGTTTCTACCTTGGTCTTCGGGGGTGGCACATTTTACGGGTCAGAGAAATGAAACATAACTGTAAGTACAGTGTAAAGTTTTTCAGTGTTAGGACTTTCACTAGGTAACAGTGTTATAAAGTTGCTTTTCATGCCAGTGTTCAGGAGAGCATCTTTCAGAAGTGCTCACTTCTGCAATTAACCTTTACTTGGCAAGCTATAATCATTACCACAGTGTGACTGATGAACCAAACACACACTGAGCTACTGAGCATTTATTATAATGTTCTAATATAAGCCAGCCTGAAAAGTGTCACAACACAAACTCATGTCTTTACACATCTGTGTCATGACTCAGCTGTGATGTTCAGGGTTCATGTAGGTGTCATGTATATTAAATAATACTATTAAGTAAAGTGTTACCAATCCATTTTGCATTATTTGTCGTAGAGTTACTGGATAATAAGCTTTAGAGATTTATTAGATTTGTTAATCATTTCAATTCTTTCTGATTTTATGTATTTTATTTTATTTTTTTTTTTATCATCTTTCACTCCTCATTCATGCAGCATGGCTCCTTTGTAATAATAACAAAAACAGTAATAATGCATTTACACTTATCCAATTGGCAGAAGCTTTTATCCAAAGCGGATTACAAGTGAGGCAGAATCCAATCCCAGCACAGAGCTGTTAAAAGAACCGACAAGTCACATACACCACACACACACACACACACACACACACACACACACACACACACTTTGTCACATAAAGACTAAGAGACCCAGACAGAGTCACAACTAAACATAAACATATTATTTACTCATTTTATATGCTCAGAATTGCTAGTAAAAAAAAGAGTCATCAGTATCATTTCATTTCATTTCAGTAATTAAAGATGAAACTGTCTTATGAAACTGTCTTATATTTCAAAGAGAATAATATTCAGTAAGTAACAAATAAACATGTGCATGCTGTTATTGGAAAATAATCAGTGACGGGGTGGTGAAGCAGAGTTACAGTCACCACCCCAAAGTTGATTATCTTCCAAAAACAGCACATCCCAAAGTCACGTAATTACAATTTTTATTTCATAAAGAACACGGCATACTTTTTAACCATTTATAGTTACATTTAATGTTGTGAAAAGTCCAAAAAGCGAGTTAGTTCTTGATACAACTTACGTTACAGCAGCTTTAATAGTTGTTCCGTCATCAGCCTCTCTTTTTTCTCTTTCAACAGTAATAAGACAAAAAAAAAAATCCAGTTTATAATGTTATAGACTAATGATAAAGCATAAATGCCTCTGACCTGAAGTTGTCAGAAATCTGAAAGATACACTTTTACCTCTGCATTCCAAAGCGCTGACACTGGAGACTCCTTCTAAACATGCTAAATAAACCTGTGTAAGCTGTTATTATAGAAACAATAATGTATTCGAATAAGCACGTTAATTAAAACCTGTGATTTTCCTTGCAGCTCTGTTATCAGAGCTGCTGTTATAGAACATTAGTTAACACCTTCTGACCAATAAGAATTGAAATTCAACGGCGATGTGTAATAGTATATTAATGCACGTAAACACAAGGAAGGTCACTGATCACCTGAACAAGTAACAACAGAGCAGAAGAGAACACTTTTTTAAGGTGGAGATAAAAGTCTAGAAAGCAAATTAAACTGGGAAATATTGTGTGTGTGTGTGTGTGTGCAGAATGAGTCGTCCCCTTCCTTGGGCCCTATGCGTACGTGTACCTGTCTGTGAGCTCTCCTCACCAGGTCTGTGATTTAAAAGCACTATTGCTGAAGATCTCTCTAAACTCTTTGAAACGTATTCTTTTATTGATTTAGTACTGAACATGTTATAGGGAAGTGTTATCGCATTATGAAATAGAAAAGCCATATTCCAGTATGCAAAATATGATTGCATATTGCAGGCCATGTAACACTGGCTTACAAGGAGAAGAGAGCAGAGTGTGGAGAGTTTTGGGTGCTTCAAATTTGCATATTCATAATATGAATTTCATGATTAAAGCCTTTTTTTCTATAATGACATTTTAAAAGAATAGCCACAATAAAAAAGGTATACTCAATATATATATGATATAGATTTTTTTTTCCCCAATTTTCTGCCCAATTTGGA